ACATTGATGGAGTTTTACTACTATGTGGACAACACATTCCTTACGGGAGACAAAAAAAGGTTTAACTGTTGCTCACATTAGACAGAAAAAACAAAACCTGAAAATATTGTTGCTGGAAAGTTTTGGCATAGTTCAAATTTTTGCATCGTTCAAACAGCTTTCTAAGAACAGTGGTGTCATCCCTAGGAAATGAGAATTGAAATCCCTGTATGCAATCAGTTTGAATGACCTGACATAGCCCTTGTTGTCTCCCTTCTTGTGGAACAGAGGGACCACTGAGGATGGGATTGGTGTGAGACTCTGGCCAGGGCTTTTCTAGAAGAAATCAGATCACAATGACAAAGAGAAGTAAGGGTGGGGGCTGGACAGAGTGGGGCTGGGTGTTCTCAATGGGGCCCTGGGAGAGAACTAAAGCACACTGGATATGTTGGGATTTTAAGGCAGGTGGAGGGACAGTATAAGATATATTAGACTGTGGCCACTGGTGTTTTTTTTTTTTATTTGAGACAGAGCCTCACTTTTGTTGCCCGGGCTAGAGTGCCATGGCGTCATCTTAGCTCACAGCAACCTCAAACTCCCAGGCTGAAGCCATCCTCTTGCCAAGGCCTCCTGAGTAGCTGGGACTACAGACATGCACCACCATGCCCAGCTAATTTTCTATATATACATATGTTTAGTTGGCCAATTAATTTCTTCTATTTTTAGTAGAGATGGGGTCTTGCTCTTGCTCAGGCTTGTTTGAACTCCTGACCTTAAGGAATCCTCCTGCCTTGGCCTCCCAGAATGCTAGGATTACAGGCATGAGCCAGCACGCCCAGCCCACCCTGGTATGGATCCTGGTAGCAAGGACGAATTTTTCTCTACAACTCATGGAACCCTCCTTGTTTTTCCCTTGAAAACCCTTCTCTTCCTTAACTTCCAGAAAAATGGCCCAGACCTATTTCCATTGCATTAGTCATTTCATGATAAATATTATTTTTTAAGAGAGTCTGTTTCTCCGTCTGTTTAGTAGACAGTAATTTTTTTGACAAAATGATTTACCCATGTTTATTGAGAGAAATAGTTAAAAGGACCCCGTCACTCCGGATGAGCGTGATGGGAACACCCGGGTTGTTCTTTCTGCCATCTGCATCCGCACGTCGGCGGTGAGACCCTACAGGTCACATGTGGCAGGCTTCCCAAATAATGGCCTGGGGAAGGTCTTCTGATTCGTGGCCTACATCCTGTCCCCGAGAGAAGAGTCTTTTTGTGAATTGCTCAAAATCTGTCCTAAGTTCTTCAGACTGTTCAGGTATTGAGGTACCGTAGGTATCATTGTCCCCATTTTACCAATCAATGAAGCCCAAGTTCAGAGAGGGCTTTATTCATCAATAAAGTCACCTAGTTCATCTGGGTGACTTCTCTAGATCACACGGTGAGTGAGTAGCAGAAACCTGGCTAAGAAACCTCCCACAATGTCAGTGCTTGTATGTCTTTTTTAATTATCGCATTTGCTTATTTCTTTTCTTCTATTTTTTTAAAATTTTTTATCTTTAAACCTCACAGCATGTAACTGGGCATCAGTGCTTCGATTTTAAAGAATATTAATCAGCGATTGCACCGAGTGAGATGCCTCACGCCTGTAATCCGAGGCGGGCAGATTGCTCCAGGTCAGGAGTTTGAAACCAGCCTCAGCAAGAGCAAAACCCCTTCTCTACTGTAAATAGAAAAAAATGTATTGGCCTACTAATATATATGGAAACAATTAGCGGGACATGGTGGTGCATGCCTATAGTCCCAGCTACTCAGGAGGCTGAGGCAGCAGGATGGCTTGAGGCCAGGAGTTTGAGGTTGCTGTGAGCTAGGCTGACGCCACAGCACTCACTCTAGCCTGAGCAACAAAGTGAGAGTCTGTTACAAAAAAAATAAGTGATTGCTCAAAATAAACAGTATTTCCTGGTCCTAAAATCAAAACAGTTGTGTGTCTTAGAAATCTCAGTTTCTCGATTAAAAACTGGCAAATTTGGGGTGTAAGGAGAAGCCATGTTAGTTTCCCTGTCACATCTTAAGACTAACTGTTCTTTTCCAGTATCGAACCACCTATCTTTGTGTTGTTTTCTATCCTTGTTTTTTTTTCTTTTCAGACACATGTCCTCTATGATTAGTCTTGCATAGAAATGCCATGGTGGTGCAGCTTAGCTCAAGCAACTCAACTCACTGCCTGAAGTGATCGCCTGCCTCAGCTCCAGTTACCGATCAGGCCCAATGCACGCTTTTGGGTCTATAGATCGCCACTTTCCATTTTTTTTTTTGTATACGAGACGGTCGGCTGCTTATCGGCAAGGTCCCCTCAAACTTCCTGAGCTCAAAGGTATCCACCCCACCTGCGGCCCCCACGAATGGCTAGGATATTACACGCTGAGCCACCATGCCTGGCTAGTGTGTCTGAAGCTTGTATCAAGAAATTATAGC